TTTTACTCAAATTATCTTGATTTTGTGTTAGGGTTAATTGGCAATCAAACAATGTGATGGAAATTCCATCTGATTATGTAAAAGTTTATGATTTTGGTTTTAATATCAGAGCCTCCGAACATCAAGAACTGGTTTTCAAGTTACAAGCATGAATCCTTTGTATTGGATACTTACCATGATTTTGGAAACTATGTTTCAAGAGATAGTGAAAGCAACAAAGACGGGTTTGTTAGTGGAGAGAATAAGAGTGAAAAAGAAGAGAACTTGATTGAATCTGTAGAAAAGAGAAACGGTTATGATTCCTGTGAAGATGGTTCTTTTCAAGGTAAAGAATGTCTAAATCAGAGTCTCAGTGAGGTACAAATTGTGTGTTTTTCCTTAAATTGTAATGCTAGCCTAAATTTGGATGCTTCTTTAAATAGTTTAATCTAGGCTTCAAGATTGAGCCTTTGAATCCTAATACATGAAATGTGGAAAATTTTCTATTATATATGTTATATTGAGCACAATCATTCTTTTGGGTCTTTTCTATTACTTATCCACGAATTTTTAGAATTTAAATTGGCATTTGAGGCTTGAAATGTCTTAGGTGATATATTTGACAAGTGACAAGTTGTGATTTGTGGCAGATACCAAATTCTTTAGAGTCAGCCTCACTTTTTTTTTGTATATATATATACATTTTTCAAAGTTTAGCTACTGTTTATTTGCTTGAAAGGATATAGGAAAATAATTGAATAGCTGGAATGATATAGAGGATTTTGAAGACAAACTTTTTAAGTTTTGTTTATTTTTCATATTCTGTCAAAACCTCCTGATATTAGAAACTGGTTTGGAAGCTATGTATATGAGTCTCCTATGTTGGACACAAGTGATGATTTCAAGAGCTCAGCTAACCACAAAACAGGATGTGAGAAAGATGCATTTGTCATCAGAGACAGCTTCAAAGAAAAAGTTGAAAATGCAGGTAAACTTCGAGAAACTAAAAGCTGTCAAGAACAGGATGTCTCTAGAATTAAATGCTCAAGTGGATTGGTTAAATCCAATAGCTCTTTTTGGGATAGAAAAAATGATGATCAATCCCTATGTAAGGTAAATTCATGTCATTGTTCTTATTTGGACATTTTATGTTCTTGTTGCACAATACTTATTAACTGAAATATGGTTAATTGTTTTTAAACTTCATAAATTGGTTACAAGTTTGGTTATCAGGATTGTTATATAACCGTGCTATTTATACTAAGATTCTTCATTTCTGTTGTACTTGTCCAATTGTATTAGTATAGACTGTTGGACTTCATTAAAGATTTAACAGTAAAATATCATCAAAAGTTAACTTTCTTTGTATTGACTCTTATATGCTTTTTGTAGATCTTGGACGCTCATAATTCATCATCTTGCCTTTCTGGTTAGTATCACTTCTCCTAGAAATGGCTTTAATATTTCATCAAATATCTTACAAGATGTTTGATTAACTAATAAACTTTGGAAAGTAAATGATTTTTTTTTTTTTTGGGTAGTTGCAGCTTAGGCAATATTTAAGCGACAAACTTTTCAGTGGCTGGAACCAGGTATATACAAGTAGCTAGCTTCCTTTTAAACTCTTTTCACTGTGATTCTCTTTGTTTTCAAAAATGAATGTTTTGTGAATTTGTGGTCTAATAGAATGATGATAGCAGTAGGAGCAAAGGTATCTTTGATTAAAGTAATGCTCTTCTTGATTGGCCTTTGATGGCTGTTTTTATTCATCAAATTCAACAACTAGATGCACAAAGAGAAATTATAACCAACAAATCTATCTAGCATCTCAGTGATACAGCCATAAACAATGTTAGAAAGTCACTTCAAATAGTTTTATTTTATGTTTGTTGTGTGTTTGGTTAAATAGTAGTTTTATTTTATGTCCACTATGTGTTTGGTTCAATAGATGACTAAACTGAGGTTGTCTTTTTTTGTTCTGTTTTGTAGATACTTTCTACATCCTGTTCACTTGCAGCAAGAAGACATTGGGAGAATGCAAGGGCAGAACTGTGGCGTGAGGAGTTGCGCTGATTGAGGAGATTGAGCAGAAGGTAGGAGGGCTCCGAGAACTTGAGGAAGCCGGTCAGAAGTAGAAACTTATTCAGTCAAATGCATATATATGCACTTTACTCAAACATCACTGTATATAGTTCTTCAGCCTGGTTTCCATATGGTAGGGAAAAACGAAGC